CACGAGCGCTACTAGCAAGGGGCGACAGCGCCGCCAAGCGGTGAGTTGGGGGAACCCAACTCGGAACAGTGAAGAGACTCTGCGCAGGCGCACTCCGAGGCAAGGTAGGTTACTGTGCTTTGAGCACATAGATAACAAGGCTTCGTCTAGTTATAATAAGGGCAATTTTAGAGATTATCGACTGAACGACAGCCTGTTACATACTTTATTTAACTTGGTAAATAGAGTTTCAATAGGTTTATAATATTCTTTATTCATATTTTTCAATTCATAATTTTAGTTTGATGCTCTTATAAAATGTATATGTTAATTTCAATAGTTTTGGGATTTAAGAAATAGTTGTCATCTTCATAAGTTTTCAGGCTTTTTTCTTGTTTGTCTGTATTTTTGTACTTCAGTGATTCAATTATTGGGTTATTGGGTTATTATAGTATTAGCTATATCTGTGATTAAATTTAAGTTAAACCTGTGTTTCAACATTTTTAGAAATTGTAATTAAAGATTCTAATATATTTTGTTTTGTAGTAATGGTCACAGTATACATTTGTACAAACAGTGTGTCCCATTTTAATTGATCCACTGGAAAATTTCGGAAAGTTGACGTCATACAAAAAAATTGTTCAGGTATATGTTGTTCAGAACAATAGGGGCCATCTGACTGTGAAAATAGTTTTGATCTTGAGAATGATTTTCAAGGTCATTTGAAGGACAAAGTGATTTTTTCAAATGGAAACTCCTAGTTTTGACACTGGATTTGATACTTATCAACTTGATAATTATTAATTTTCGATAACCGATTTTGCTGTCACTCAAAAATTATGAATTAATAACACAGATCAACAAAATATAACTTTCTTTTTAGAACCTAAGTAAGACATATCATTTCTTATAGATTTTTTGGCGCTGAATCCAAATCTGTCCACAGAATTGCTCTAGCATTCTGTATAAATATCCTAACCAAAATGTTCAAAAATCGACGTTTTAGTCTATATTTGAGGTTATGCAGTATCTCCATATTTTTTGTTCACAAAAAACTACAAACAGCATCTTAAAGTAAAAGTCTTACCCTTTCAAATGCCGTTGAGTTTGCTTAAATAGCTCATTTTTTTTGGGATAATTAATTTTCAAATGTTCTAAATGAATGAAATCTTCCTCTTAAAATCTATAGTATGCTTAATATTTCGTTGTCGAACTTTGATACTAAATAATCGCTACGAGACGGAATTGCGGACGCGGATAAAAAACCTCATTTACAGATTCAAGATTTTTTTTTGATAAAGAATCAACTTTATGAAAAAATTTTAAAGAATAAAATGATATTAAAATATGCCAAGAAATACGTGAGAATCTTTTGGAAGCATTTTGAGTAAATTTTTAATTTTGCAAAAATTGGATATTTATAAAAACAAAAAATTTCCTCGTAATTCTCCCAAAATATTCAGGTGTTATCTTCGATCAATTCTAAGAACTTTTTATCTCTTGGCACTTTTCCGATAAGTTGATAATTTCTGAGTAAAAAATTCGTGTATTATATGGGAAATTTTTGCGGTTCGGATGCCATTTTGAAAATTCTAGCGCGAAAAATTGAGTTCTGAACCATGAATTCTTACAATTCAGGTATTTATTCCATTGGTTGAAAAGGTTCTAGGTCAGTTCTTAATGCTAAAGATTTCGAAAATTGGATTTCAAAAAAAAAAAATAGTTGAAAATCCCTATTTTTTTGTTTGAACGCAAGTTTTTCGTAAATAATGAAGGTTAAGATCAATTTTGTGTATATCATGAGGAAGGGCTTACTTTAACCCTTAACTGCTATGTGGGGTAGATTTACCCCAGACAATTTTTAGCAATAAATAAAATTTCTTTTTTTTTTCAACAATTTTTTTCAGTGTGTGTAACATTAAAAATTGTTAACCTGAATATTTTTTTTATAGTAAAAGGTTTGAAATATACTAGAAAAAATTTTCATAGGAAAATATTTAAATTTTTCTGATTTATTCGATGTTTTTCGGGCTGGGGTAGATTTACCTCACCGAGCAGTTACGTGGCCAAAATGAGGTGTGCAGTGAAGGGTTAAGCTTTCGAAATATGTCCCTCTTAAATCTTTTGAATGCTTACTAAATTAGATATAACGTTCCAAACACTAGTGTCTCGCGAGTGGCGTTTTCGGCGGAAACGGGTTAATGTGTGGGTATGGAATTGTGAACGGATAGGTCCCTTCTTTTTCCATGCCAATGTGGATAGAAGTAATCTTTTACAGTTGCTTAGAGACCATCTTCTAGTACTTCTTGAAGGAATAGATTTAAATACTAGGTTGAGAATGTGGTTATACTAGATAGAGCTGCTCCGCACTTTTCTTTAATAGTTCAAGAATTTCTCAATGAATATTACCGTAACAGATGGATAGGACTACCTTTCATCGATTTTGTGAGAAAAAGACGAAATTCTCGCAATAAGTGGCAATTTCAATTAGCGAATCTAAATCAGGTTGCTAGAGAAATCACGGAAGGCTCGAGATTCCACTCAAATCGCAAGGCCCGCAGACACTGCGACAAAAAAACGCGGCAGACTACTTTGCAAAGAATTGAAAAATTTAGGACTCACGTTACTTAATGGCAGAAATTACTCCGATCCAGAGGGCAACGAAAACTTCTTCAATGACAACGGCTCAAGTATTATCGACCTGCTCTGAACAAATATTCATGGTCTGCAAGTTTTATCGAATTTCTCCATTCTCGGTATAGGTCAATCAAGTTTACCTGAAAAGTCGACAAAAAAGAAAAATTTTGCAAAAAATTAAAAGATTTTTGCTTATCTAACTCTCAAAATGTTAACGCTATCAATGAAAATATCACGAGTGACATCAGATCTATTTCGGAGCTACTTGGTATGGGAACTTGCTCGAAAAATTAGTTACTCCGCTAACTAGAGAGAAACCATGGTATAATATAATGAATGTCATCGAGTTTAGATTAACAGCAAGAGGAATCGTAGAAAATGGTGCAAAACAATCCCTTCACTTAAAACCTTCTACATTGCCTCCAAAAAGCGATACATCAATATTTATAAGAAAAAGAGGAAAGAATTTATTTTCAAACAGCAAGTAGATCTTGCAAATTCAACAGTCAAAATATCTAACAGATTCTGGTCAATAGTTAAAAAACTCAAAATTCACAATAGTCTCGCCTGTCCTATACCCGCACAAATCTTGGAAGATTTTACAGCAAGACTACTCCGCAAGATTTCTTAATACTTCGCTATTCTACGACTGCAGAAATCTTTTTATCGATTTCAACTTCACCCACAGAGAAGTACTTAATGTCATCAAAGGCTTAATATCTAACAAGGCTCCTGGACCTTACGGAATTCTATATTTATTCTATAAAAACCTACCGGAAACTAAAAAATTGAGTAGATATAGTCGATTTTATTAAAACGTTTTTTATAACTGCCGCGCTTTACGCCTAATTATATTACTCGCTTAGAAACCGGTACCATTTCTCTAGAATCTAAAGTCTCTTTATTAACATTGCAGTACTGGATAAAAATTCTCAGTTACGAACCCTCAAGATACCTAAAAATGTACACCAGACTGAAGGAACTACTCAAAACATCTCCAGACAAAACAAAACTCAACTAGATTTTGCAACTCTCTCTACTTCTTGGAAAAGCTGGCTATGATTACTTGCTACAATGCAAGGATGCAAAAACAATTGAACTTGCATTATCGAATGTTGTTGTCAGCTTGAGCATATTAAGTTTCGAAAAGGACATAAAAAGAGCCATTAGCTCTAACTTTTGCCCACGCTACAAATATCTACAAGATTTTTACTCTCTTTAATGTGAACCGTACCTTTTGCTGCCCTTACCTATGCCCTATAACAGACTGCTAGCTGGTTGCAAATTATCAGGCTCCCTGAATCTATCTCTATACTTAAAAAGTGAATTGTATAGAATAAATATTAACGAAATATGCTCATCTTGTCACATTATTGCGAAAGAAACACTCTATCACTTACTAAGTAAATGTGTAATCTATAATTCTTTGTGCCATAAATATTTCAAAGAAGCGTATTTATTCTCAACGTTTCAAAATTTAATGACGTTTCAGCTTTTTTTATTTTCTTTCCGGTGTCTTAAAATTAAAAGCTCTCAGTATAAGCTAATAAGATAACTACGACTGGTTCCGGTCAGCCAAATGTGCATATTTAGTCCTCATATTGTATACACCTAGTCTGTAATTAAAATTAAAAAGCGCCCTCAATACTCAACTATTTGTAATAGGTCTTTACCCAAAAATAAGAAACTAAATAAATAATTAAATAATTAAATAATAATAATTAAATAATAATAATGATGAAAATCAATTTCTATAATACTATGCTTTATTTTTATGATGTTGAAGATGTAACATCTGAATTTTTAGGGTGTTGAATATTTTGAGCGATATCCATTTAGTTTAATATTCCATTTATCGTTTATCAATACGAGTCAATTCCGCGTATATTATTTATTGATGTCTCTGTATAAGTATTATAGTCTGCCCATTGCGTCTATCGATAACCAGCGCTTAGTATGTAATACGACTGAACGTATTTAATAACGACGATGCTTTAGACGCCTTGGCAAAAGATTATAGAATATGCAGTTTTCGATTTTAATGAAGCTCTTCTACCACTGTCTGAATTTTAGTTACAAATTCTTAGTTTGCATTCCACTAATCGTTAATTTTTATTATAAAGCTGTTTTTCCAAAAGACATAATCAACATTTACAGTGTTTAGTGCATGTCCGAAATAATGCAACCTTTTAATGAGATTTATTAATACAAGCTAGTTATGCATACTCTGTGTGTGTGTGTGTGTGTATGCGTGTATGTATGAATAACCGAAACAAATAATCTTTACTGCCCTTAAATCTCAATTCTACCCAACTTTTCAATTTAATTTTTCAAATAAAAGTTATATTACAAATGTCGAATAAAATTTTTCTTGTTCTATATAGGAGGAATCACACGACTTACCGAGTCGGGATTATCTATGGTAACTTGGAAATTGTTAGGTGAAAAACGTCCAAAAAATGAAGAATTATGGTTAGAAGAATTTGAAAAATATAAAAAATTCCCAGAATTTAAGTTGTAAGTATTTCTTCATTTTATAAATGTCTTAGTTATTCATTATTATATTATATATGTTACAACTTTTCAGCTTGAATAAAAACATTACGCTTGATGATTTCAAACAAATATGGTGGATGGAATACATTCATCGAATGTGGGGTCGTTTAATTGGTGCCACGTTTATTATTCCGGCAAGTTATCTGTACCTCAAGTACTCTCTAGATACAGTATTAAAAAGGCGAATCGTCTTATTAGGAACACTAATTGCTTGTCAAGGATTTGTAGGGTGGTACATGGTAAAATCAGGATTAGAAAATAATTTTTATGATCCTGCCGATATACCACGAGTTTCGCAATATAGATTAGCCTGCCATCTTGGTCTAGCTTTTATTATTTACTCAGGATGCCTTTATAACTCTTTAAATTACCTCTTTCCTTATGAAGAAAAGTCTTTGAAACCTTCTGATTCATTATTAAAACGATTGCATTCAAATCAGTTGCACAAACTTATAAGATTTACTTATTTTAGTGGTGCTTTAATATTCTTGACAGCGATCTCAGGAGCATTTGTTGCGGGTTTAGATGCTGGTTTAATATATAATACGTTTCCCAAAATGTCTGGTAAATGGATTCCAGATGACATATTAACTACATCTCCTATTTGGAAGAATATAACAGAAAATCCTACTACAACGCAATTCAACCATAGAATAATGGTGAGTTAATATTTATTTTATGAAAAGATAAAAGTATTTCTCATAAAATGCTTTCATTATCTCTGATTATGACGAAATATTATGTTCCTAAAAAATAATATTTTAGCATTGTGTTTCCAGTAAATATTCAATAGTAAAATTTCTACGCAACAAATTATATAACTATTATACGAGGTTTGATCAAAAAGTAAGGTGAATTTTTATTTTTCTCAAAAAATATTTATTTATTCATCAATTTTTATTTTATCTCCTTCAAAGTAATCCCTCTCGGATATAATGCACTTGTGTCAACGCTTTTTCCAATCCTCAAAGCATTTCAAAAAATCATTTTTTGTGATCTTGTTTAGTTCATCCTTCGATGCCGTCTTTATCTCCTCAATCGTGGCAAAACGCCATCCTTTCATGGGCCTCTTCAGTTTTGGGAACAAAAAGAAGTCACAGGGGGCCAGATCTGGGGAATACGGTGCCTGTGGCATCATTACTGTGTTGGTTTTAGCCAAAAATTCGCACACAAGCAACGATGTGTGAGCAGGGGCGTTATCGTGATGCAAAAGCCATGAATTGTTTTTCCACAATTCTGGGCGTTTTCTTCGTATTGCTTCTCGCAAACGGCGCATAACTTCAAGATAATACTGTTTATTGACCGTACGTCCATATGGTAAGAATTCCTGATGCACCACGCCATGGTAATCGAAGAAAACAGTGAGCAAAACTTTGACATTTGATCGAACTTGGCGTGCTTTTTTCGGTCTTGGCTCATCTGGGCTCCTCCATTGGGACGATTGGACTTTGGTTTCGACGTATACCCATAACCGTATACCCATGTTTCGTCACCTGTTATAACCCTGTTGAGTAAATCTGGATCATCGTTGACGTCATTCAGTAGCTCTTGGGCGATGCTCATGCGACGTTTCTTTTGGTCGAAATTGAGCAATTTCGGAACAAACTTCGCTGACACACGTCTCATGTCTAAAACACTCGTCAAAATTGATTGGCACGAACCAAATGAGATGCCAATATCATCAGCAATTTCTCTAATGGTAATTCGACGATTTCCCAACACTATTTTCTTCACTTCTTCAACATTCTCATCAGTTGTTGATGTGCTGGGGCGTCCAGAACGAGGTTCGTCGTCGGTGTCTTCTCGGCCTTCTTGGAAGAGTTTATACCACTTGTAAACATTTTTTTGGCTTAAAGTAGACTCACCGTATGCCACTTTCAGCATTTCAAGTGTTTTGGAACATTTGATTCCATTTTTCACACAAAATTTAATGCAAACTCTTTGATCCATGTTTTTAGACAGCAGTAAATCGTGGAGCACGCAAAACACTTCTAACTTTGATGCCTCTCAGAAACAAACCAAACATACTACAAAGCTGAAATTTGGAACGTATGTTCTAGACGAGTGTACCGACATAACCAAATAAAAAAGTCGAAGATCGAACGGACGTAGCCCGCTAAATTTCAAAATTCACCTTACTTTTTGATCACACCTCGTATATATATATATATATATTAACGTCGCTCTATTTATGCTCCATCAGTGCTAATCAGCGACGGATGCTTGCAATGTGTTTGAGAACAAAGTACATGAAATATAAATATTATATCGTAATGAATTAAGTTTCGTTAACTTTTGCGTATATACATACGTAGGGACCGTGGCAAGGAGTATACCTGTTTGAACGAGAAATGGCAAAAGAAGACTGATGGAGAAATTCCATAGTCGCCAAGCAGACGTAGACTAGGACGAGGGTAAGAGCGTCACGCGAATCACGACCAGTCAATACAGTATCGACCGGAAACAAATCAATTCGCCTTGACTTTTGGGGGTTGCATAAGGGTTTGATAGGTGAAAAATTGACATGATTTCCGCAGTGGAAAAATAGCTTAGTTTTGAGCAGATGTTTATGTTTGAAAGAAAATAGAAGTAAACAGTTTCTTTGTTTTTAATTAAATTGTAGGCATTACCACTCCTGTTTCTAATGAAAATAAACTGGAAAAATTTACATGAATTCCTATTATAACCCTTTATGGTGAAAAATCTTGTTTTTAGACAGAATCGATAAAAAGAGAAAATTATTTTTAATCTACATTATCTTATATGACTCTACTTTTAACTCCTTTGTCTTTGTACCAATTTTTTGATAGAGTACTGCACACTTACTAATATAAACTTTTATAAAATTTAATACAATTTAAAAGGAACGGTTTTTAACATTTTTTATTTGTTAAAGTCTGAACAGTAATGATAATCATCAAAAAAATGTTTGAAACATAAGGACTTTTTACATCAGCCGCAACGTATAATTACAGCATTTTGGCAGCCTTCGATTTCGCATTTTGAACTACAAGAATCCCCCAAACTAAAATCAACCGGATTATCAAATTTTTCCGGTTTTCCTTTGAAATATCCGATTTTAAACCAAGAATATTTCAAAAGATTTAAATATGTTGGTGACGAAAATTGGTTATGATCCAATGACTGAAGCCGAATAATATTATTTCTCGAATGTAAATTCATATCGTAATCCATTAAAATAACGTTATCTGAAAAACGTCTAACAAAGTTTTTCCACACTCACAATCCGTATACATCTAATGGTTGGATTTTTCCTATCGTTCCAGTTGGAATTTTCATAACATTAACGATCTTATTTAGTTTCTTCAATTAGTTTTTCGCAGTGACCACTCCAAGAATCTAGCAGCAATATACTGGCAGGGCCAACATTTGGATGGAAAATGTTCTTCAACCAAATTTTTTAAAAATCTGCAATAAAAGAATTTCATCAACATTTTTCTACCAGCATTCTGTTATTTTTAAATTATATTTAATTATTACTTACCTGAAGTTAATTTTCCAGATTTAGATGCTTCTACGTATACTATGTTTTATATACTATATTTTATATACTATGTTTTATACTATAGTACATTATGAGGTTTGAACAATTTGGATTTTACAATTGGTCCAAACTGGCCAGATTGCTCCTTCAAAACTAAAAAGAGAGGTGACAAAAGTTTTCGTTCACCTGATATTAGGGATTGTATAGTATAGCTGTGTGTCGTTGATGATACCGATTGTACTGGACATTGAATCTGACTTTCGCCTTCTACCGCAAGTGTCCTTCCGGAGTGGATTTCCAATTGGAATCCACTTTGATCTGCATTATATGTATTATGAATTCCAATTTCTTAAATAGCTTTCTTCACATGGTAACAAATGTAAGAGCTTGTTTTTCTAGTTCTGCACTACTTTCGAAAGTTTTTCGGGTAACGAATTTGTTAATTTGTCTTGATACAATTCTGTGAGCAATTTTAAATCTTGATAACCAGTGTTTTGAAGCTTTGAACCTAAAATCTTCAAACTCTAGATCATTTTTTGCGTGTAATGCCCAACAACGCAAATCTTTTATCATGCGCAATAAAACCAGCGTCAATAGCAGATTTCAAATACATAATCATAAATTCGGGCAATTTTTTCTCTGTATGTACCACCTTGGTTGACTATGTGAGCCCAACGCCGAAGCTGACTGATAGAAGATACCTTTTTTAATTTACTTTTCACACTTTCAAGACTCAATTTTTTTCTTTTCCCACTTCGCCAATAATTCACTGCTCTTTCTTTATAAACAAATGATAAATCTTCTCTATCTTTTTTACACAGATGTGTTGGAAATTCTACAGGAGGAGAAAAATGATACATTATATCGTCCTCGATAATTTGTGTATCGGGATCCTTTTATTCCTCCTGGACATCTAACGTTTCTTCTGAAATTATTTCTACATGGTGAAATTCGTCCATCGAATCTATTAAAATATTTTTTGTTTTTCGCTAACTGATTTTCTTGATAAGTAGTTGGGCCATTAATCGGTAATTCCAATGTTTGAAAGTATACCAGCAATAAATTTATTACGTTTAAAGAATTGACTCTCATCCTGAATACGGCAATTGTATTAATTACTTTTGTGAATAGACTGTGTTAATGGAATGGAAAATAAACATTCAAAATGTCTTACCTTTTCGATAAAACAGAAATTAAGAATAAATTATTTTATGAATTTGAATTTGAAAATATTGAAGAAATTATTTAACTCCCCAAATCACGTCCGTCCAATAAAGACATGGAATTCAAACTGATATCTTATGTTTACAAAAACTTGTACGATACATATAGGACAGATAACAGATTTCATTTGATAGTATTTTTATCTTGTTTTCTTAATTGTAAGTATTCTCAACTCTCACTTTCAACGTATGAATAAAATTAAAGAATTTAATAAGATCATTTTATTTGGTTCAGTTTTGATATTTATTTTCCATATGTTAAATTAAATTTGATAATTGGAAGACCTTACTCTTTTGTACACAAACGTTTTATAACACTATAATATTCTACATTACTAATAAACAAACGAACGTTATTTCCTTCATTATTATTCCATTATTATTATAATTATTCAAAATTTAATATTTGACCACTTGCGTTTGAAAAAGTTAAAATAATATTATAATAATAATTAAATTATTCACTTCTTTCTAACATTTTTAGTATGACGACAGCTATCGAGTACTGAAAATTAGAAAATTTATTTAAAACTTTATAAATTTTCTTAATTTGAGAATGACCAATAATTGAAACAACCCAGGTGACTGACAGGAGTAGGGACCAGCGACGAAGGCAATGTTCAATATTGCTTTTACTTGTCCGATCACAAATGGAATCCGTGTCACTCAAAGGAGTTAATACAAACTGATGAAAGGAGTTCCTTCTCCAGAATGGTAGCCGCTCTCGTCTTCATTCGGCGGGTCAAGCCGAAGGCCGGTCCTTCCAATGACAACTCGACGTGAGCTCACCGGAGAAATTGCATAACGGACTAACTGTCGCGCTACCCGTGCTCGAACCTTCATACTCTCAGAAGCGACACCAAAATGGCCGAGTACCGATATATCACAACTTTCGCATTATCTACTCATTAGATACTAATTTTTATTAATA